TTTTTTTTGCAAAAATTATCAAAGGTTAAAGTTCAAAATAAGCAATTTTTGAAATCAAGATTTCTTAAAAACGGATAGATGGATCTTGAAAATTTTGATCTCTGTGTTGCGAAGAAAAGGCACTGAACACCTTTTGCAGAGAACACCTTTCTGCATAGGCGGCCTGCGACCGCACTTAGTGATTAAGACCTCACAACGTAGAATTCTCTTTCTGTGTTGCGAAGAAAAGGCACTGAACACCTTTTGCAGAGAACACCTTTCTGCGTAGGCGGCGTCGGCCGCACTTAGGGTTTGTTAGCTTTTTTTTATAATTATTTTACATTAATTCAATTTTTGAAAGAACTATACTACATATATATAAAGTACGTATGCAAATTAAAGGGAATCTAATTTGCTATTAAATGAAATTTTCCAAATGCATTCATTCGTTTTTGAGAAATCTTGATTCCAAATATTTCTTATTTTGAACTTTAACCTTTGATAATTCTTGTTGTTGTTTGCCCAAAAAAAGAAGTATACCGTTATACTCAGCTCAATCATCTCTATCGATTCCAATATTTTTTTTTTTAATTTGAGATTTGGAGCCCAACTGCATTTATGCCCGGAGTTCTGCTAGGCTTCACCTGGTCTCTCTTGGCAGTTCAGCTTCATCGATGTTGATGGGCGGCGGTCGACTGCCTAGAACGATGTTGTCGTTTCTGGTGCTAAGACTTGACCTGACCTCATCGTTGTGTAGGTGGTTAAGCTCCGCTCTGCATTTCTCTACGTCTAAAGGGTGGTCTACGCACGGCTCAACGTCGGGGTTTCCAATCGAGCAGGTGACTTCTGACATGTCGGGGAGGCAGTTCATTTCGAAGTGGGGCGTTATTGGGGTGATTTCCGCGGTGACATCCCACGAGGAACTGCTTCGATAGCAACGTGTTGTGCTCTTTCACCGCCATCATATGGCTTTCTTGGTGGAGGTGATGCTCGGACGACATGAGATGGCATCCTGTAGCCGTGCGTAGCAGCTGATTCGCGTTGTTTTTTGTTTTTGTCAGTTAAATACAAACTTGGAAATTGAATTTTTGTTTCACAAATTTGATTTTAAGTATATAAAGATTGAATATACATCAACAGGCCATTCACTATTATTTAAAAGCACCAGGATAAATTTTAACACAAAACAACTGATATGCACTTTGACACTTTATCCATTTTTACTCGGAAAAAAAGTCCTGGCTGTTTCGGGCAGGAAAAAGAAGACACTTACGATCCAATACCAATATTACCCATTTTGTTGAGTACGGGAATGTTTTTTTTGCCTATTTTGGGCACCCGCGTTGCGTACGGGAAAGAACCTATGGTTGCAAACCTACACATAAGATGTGTTGCCATACTGTACAAAATAGGAATCTTAATTCCGGGATCTCGGATACCGGACTTTAAGGTCTCGAAAATTCTTGGCAAGTAATCCCGGTATTGTCGGGATTTGTAATTTGCACTGATGGCAATAATGGAAACTCTTTTTCTTGACCAGTATTGGCTATATTTCCTTTTTTATTTAATAATTAGTATTTTTTATAAATGTCTTGCTCATTGTACATATAACACCGCGCGATAGTAAGTTTTAAATACAAATATCAAACGTGTGTCAAGTTAGCACTACACTTGGTGTCATGGAAAAGTTAACTACGGCATTAATTGTAGTGTTTTTGTTGTGGAAAGAAAAAATTTGTAGCTCTCATTTTTTAAAAAATATGGTATGTAGTGATAGCTTGACACTATTATTTATAAAAACTAAAATCGAAAAACGCTGATGACGTGACAAATTCTGAAACAACCACGTCCGTCACGCTAGCTGACCCACTTCTCCAAAAAATTATAAAAATTACTCAGGAATTAGGTGCAATTTAGGTGCAATTTAGGGCCTCCAAAATTAATTTAAGTGCTCACTCGGTTTCCGAGAAAATTGCAAAAATATATGGGTCAGCCAGCATGACGTCACGCTAGCTGACCCACCCACTAATTTTCCTCGAACACTGGTAAATATTATTCAGGAATTAGGTGCAATTTTGGTGCAGTTTAGGGCCACCAAAATTAATTTCGGTGCACACTCGGTTTCCGAGAAATACGCAAAAATGTGTTTTGGATCAGCTAGCGTGACGTCTCGCTAGCTGACCCACCCACTAATTTTCGTCGAACACTGGTAAATATTATTCAGGAATTAGATGCAATTTAGGTGCAATTTAGGCC